TTTTCAAAAAATTGATAACTGCCAATGCTGTGAGTTTGTGGAGGTGCTGTACCTCTATCCATCTGGAGTAGTGGTCCACCAGCACTAGGTAGTGTCTGCCATTGACTTCTGCTAGGTCACAAGCGAGTCGTTGCCAAGGTCTGTCTGGAAGTGGGGTGGAGATCAAGGGTGCTGCACGTTGTGCTGACTGCCTGGACTGACAGTAGGAACATCTCTCTACGTATTGGGCAATATCGGTCCCAATATCTGGCCACCAAACAGCTTGGGCAGCTCGTGCTCTGCACTTGGAAATTCCCTAGTGACCGTCTTGGATTCTGGAGAGCATCTCTTGTTGCATCTTGGCTGGGATGACAATACGGTCTCCATAGGTGAGAAGCCCCTTGAAGTGACTTAAGTGTTCCTGTTTATCCCAGTACAGCCTCACTGTTGAAGACTCCACGTCCTTGGAGTACTTTGGCCAACCACTAGTTACATATGGTGTAACTTGCTTGAGCACAGGATCAAGGGCAATTTCTCGTGTGATCTCCTCCAATTTTCCCTGGGAAACTGGCCAATGGTTTGTCACCATATAGACGTTAACTTCTACTTCATCGGAAAGGTTGTCACATTCAGTAACCGGTGAAGTCAGTGGGACACGAGACATGGTATCGGCCACTACAAGGTGTTTGGAAGGTACATACACAGCGGTGCAGTTGTACTTCATGAGGCGCATGAGGAGTCGTTGACACCTCAGTGGTGTATCACACAGGTCTTTGTTGTTGATGAGTGGAACAAGCGGCTTATGGTCTGTCTGAATTGTGAAATGGAGGCCTCTCAGGTACACGTAGAACCTTTCGCATGTCCACACCGAGGCCAATAGCTCTTTTTCTATCTGGGCGTACTAGCGTTCTGCTTTGGTAAGACTTCGTGAGCAATATGCCACAGGTTTCCACTCTCAGTCTTCTTGTTGCTGTAGAATACAGCCGCAAAGGCCGTATTCACTAGCATCAGCACTGACAATCGTCGGCTTAGCGGCATCATAAAATGCAAGGGAGGTGCTGACGTCAGGAGCGTCTTCAACCTGCGGTCCCCACATCCAGCGGACATCACTCTTAAGTAGGTCATTAATTGGTGCAGCAACTGAAGATACATGAGGAATGAACCTGGCCAACCAATTCACCATGCCCATTAGTCGTTTCACTTCGGCTTTGTTAGTTGGTGGCACCATCTGTATGATAGCTGCTATCTTTGCAGGGTTTGGATGGATGCCGTCCTTGTCCAGCTTCATGCCAAGGAAGTCATGACAACCTTTCTCTGAGCTAATTTGCTCTTGTCTCGTTTGAGCTTCAGCCCAGCGTTCTGTATAATCGTGAGAACGTGTTGGAGTCGTTCATCGTGTTCTTCTTTTGTGCGGCCAGTCACCAGAACATCATCCATGTATACCACAACCCCTTGTATTCCGATCAACAGGTCACTCGTTATTTGTTGGTACATTTCTGGGGCTGACGTGATGCCAAATGGGAGTCGCTTGAAGCAAAAGTGCCCGAATGGCGTAATGAAGGTCGTTAACTCCTGGCTGTCCTCAGCAAGTGGTACTTGTCAGAAGCCGTGTTTGGCATCGAGAAAGGAGAATATCTGGGCGCCTGATACTTTTCCCAAGACTTCTTCGACAATCGGTATAGTGAATCTCTCCCTGGTCATGGCTCTATTTAGCTGTCTGAGATCGACACATAGACGGATCGCACCATTCTTTTTCGGTGCGATCACAATGGGCGAACACCGATCAGTGGGTTTGGTGATCCGCTGAATGATGCCCAGATTCTCCATCTTGTCTAATTCTTCCTTCAGTTGGGGCATGAGAGGGATGGGGATACGACGAGGAGTTGTGACACAGTAAGGAATGGCTGCTTCATCTATCTTGATGTTGACTGTTTGTCCATGCAGACACCCCCCTCCTTCAAAAACACTCTCATGGCCGAACAGAGTGTAGACACGTTGCACCAAGTCAAGTGCTTCACAGGCGTGCTTGCCTATGACTGGTTCCCCCTGAGCCAAAATGAGAAACCGCAAAGTATAAGTCTTGCCTTTGACTTGGCATATCCGTGTGGTCTCGCCGATGGGCGTGGCTTTCTC